TAGGAATCAAAGCATTGCACAATGGCCAGAAGGAGAGTAGGGATAACTTGAATTTGGGTTCATAAAATAAAACTTTTTAAAGGAAATTTAGGCAGGCATTCTCACATTCTCTGAGAACAGTAGTTTGAAGCCTTACCAGACAAGCATACCACCCAGGAGTGTAAAAGCACTGTCTTGCTGAGCTCAGTTTGCCTGTAATTGACTGCAGTAGTGTATAACTGCTGGTGATTAAAAAAAATGTAATTCAGCTATTCAGGTAGAAACAATTTCTGCTCCAATTCTGAGCAGCAATGTTACTGGTATGCATCTGAACATCAGCACTCCTCATGCAGTGACTGCACAATCTTTGCTTTAATCAGTGTTTACTTGTGAGCATTAACATCAAATTACATTGTAAAATATTGGAGCAAATTTGGAAAATAAAGAGAATTAAACCTCTACTGAATGCCACCATCTACTTTAGTTCCTATTTACGCCAACAATTTATGACAGTACGTTGATGGAATTAACTACTAACAGCAACTATATAATGACTAATAAGGCAATTTGAAGGGTTAAACCTTTATTGGAAACTGTCCCTGAGGTGCTGCTCTTATAAGTGGCAAGAAGCAACATCCATGTGTCTTCATGTTGCTGGCAGCCAGTTTTGTTGCAGTGCTTTCACAAGTCTGAGCTGCCTTCACCCTAAAGTTGTAAAGCTGGTCAAAGATTTCAACTGTATTTATTTATTTTTTAGGATTTTGGTGAAAGTGATGCAGCATTGTTATGACACTTCACAAGCTAATTAAGACTCTTTTCATTTTCCATTTTTAAAAACGGGTTAGCAGTTGTTATATTTGCTGTTGTTCAGAGATGCTTGTAAGGTTGAAACTACTCAATAATACTGTAGCTTTAAAGACATAACTCTGAGGACAGTTCGGTCACACTCCACAGCACAGCATGCCTTTCTGCAGTTAGTTTTGGCCCAAAATGATTGCTTCAAATTGATGCTACATATGTGGAGGCTGAAATGGAATTTAAAATGCTGAGGCCTCTGCAATCAAATGCTTTCTGTCTTTTTCTTTTCCCCACTCAGATACGGAGAAAAAAAAAGTGTGGCCCTCTGCAGGTAATTGCTGTATTCACAAGGATGCACAGAGTTGCATGATGGCCTGACTGTTGCTTCCCTGTTCGAGTCATCTGTCTCAGCCATGGCATTAAATGTTTCAGGTTGTCTATTCCTTTAAATCCAATGTTACTTAATCCTGGTGCTAAACCTGTTTCCAAAAGGAGAGTTTTTCTGATAGCTGAGTAGAAACCTGTCACCTTCACCTGTTTACTTCCACTGAGCTCATCCACATTTCCAGCATTAATTGTGTTTGTAGTAAAAGGGCTTGCTGCATCCCTTTTCTTTGTAGTTGCGCTTCCATTTCACAATTATGCAAAAGAAAGATCATTTTGTCAATTTGCTTCATCATTCATATGTAGGCATGACTCATAAAACTCTTTATGTCATAAAAGTGTGATCTAAAAATACTTTCCACCATGAAAAAATGGAAAGCACAATGCTGATTTATTATTTCACACGTGGATGATTTTTAGTTTTCCTGGCTCTTTAATCTGATCGTGTTTGATCCTTGATGTTGTGTTTCCCTAAAATGTATCTTAAAGATTTATTTTACTACAGATGTTGTATCTGGCAAGTGTCATAATGTTTCTAACTATTCTTTCCAGAATGAACAGTACAAGCTGCAGCCAGCATTTTAAATAGTTTGGTTTAACATGCAGCAATTTTATTTTTATATGATGACAAAGTTAAGTTAGTTTGAAACAGTTGCGGCTTTTAAACCAGAATTTTAAGCACATCTGCTGCTTTTTACAGATATCAGATTAGGCTGCACAATATTAAGAAAATTCTGATCATATCAATTATCAAAATTAACCCACATTTTGATCTATAATCTTTATTTTTCAGTTTTATGATGATCATAATTACAAAGAGTTCTATTTGTTGTGACCATAAAGGGCAGAAAAAGTCCATGTATGACTTGAAAGCATCCATTAAATAAACCTCAAAATAATTGGTTGCCCCCCCCCCCCCCCTTACATAAAGGGGAGATTTACACATTATGTTAATTTCTCTTTATAGTTTTCCTGTTTGTTCTTTTTTTCCCACAACATTTATTTGCTGATCTCACTTTGCCCTTCCTCGGTCAGGACTTGTTTGGGTCTTTGTCAGCACTGATGAGGGAGATCATGCCTGGTGGTGGCGCACTCAGGGCTGCCCACACTGTGCTGTGATGACCACACAACAACACAAACACGCATAGTGCATAGATCTGGATGATTAACCTAATGTTTGCCTAGTTAGTGATTGAGCAATGAATGAAAACAAAAGAAAGTTCCAAAAATATGAAGCTGTCTCAATATGTTCAGTGTGACAGCTCATGCATTGGGTAGGTGTAGAGTTTAGGTACAACAGAAATAGGTGTCCTATTTTTGAAATTATTTATTTTTCCCCGTTTGCTTCATAAGCAGAAAATAGGCTTAGAATCCCCTTGATATGAGGATTCCACCTTACCATGTTTCCAGAAATTAAATCCTACTCTAGGGTGGGTTTAATAAACATGTTCTCTATGTAGATAATGGCCAATTAACCCCTCCAGCGTTGTTGCTTCCCTTGTCATCAGAATGTACACCATAAACCATACAATTGCATTACAGTGTGTCAGTGTAATCCTTCTCGGTTTGAGGAGCAGCAACCTGAGAGAGAGAGAGAGAGAGAGAGAGAGAGAGAGAGAGAGAGAGAGAGATTGCTTACCTCTGGGCAGTCTTTAACTGAGAAACAGTTTATGTAATCATATGGCATTCCTGCAAAGTCCTAAAGAAGTGAAAGTTCAACAATCATCTTTGAATCCTCTTGTTCATGTTTCTCCCTCTTCTGTTTCTCTCATTTCTCACTTCAATCCCCCCCACAAGAGGCAATCATGAGTCCTCCACGCCGATCATCAAGTTCCCATGGCGACAGGTAATTTCCTGAAGCATTTCCCAACATGTGACTCTAGGAACAGTAAAGAGCACTGCTTTGAAGTCAGAACCGTAGACAGACATGAACACAACGTGTTGTCGGAGGGTTATTTTTTCATGATTTTCTGTAAACACTTTGTCCACTTCGATGGTAGGGAAATGGTTCGGTGTTTTGAAAAACATATATCATATTGCATCAGTAGACTCAGTTATTTCGTGAAAAAAGTCTATGTATTTATTAATCAGTTTTTATAACAGAATGCTATTCTTGAAAAACAGCCAACAGAAACACGTTTTTCCACAGCGTGATTTATTTTAATCTTTATTTTTCAGTTTTGTTGCAGATTGTTTACTAGCCTGAAAAACACTGTAATATTCTGAGAAAGGTATTCATACCTTTTGAACTCTTCCAGATTATGTAATGTTACAAGAACAAACCTGTATTGTTTTCACATTTTATGTGACAGTTCAACACAAAGTAGTGTATAATTGGGAAGTATAAAGAAATTGCTACATTTGTATTTATCTCCTTTACTCTTTTTTCTCATAATCAAAACAACTGTTTTCAGAATTCACCCAATTAGTAAAAAAAAAATCATCCTGTGTATAATTTAATCTCAGTCTGAATACAGCCGAATTCCAAAAGCCTCAGATGTTTATTTGAGAACATAACTGAACAAACACCATGAAGACAAAAGCAAACAGTTAGGTTGTAAAGCTATATCTAAAGTGTTCAGCTTCTCACAGAGCACTATTCAATTCATCATTTAATATGGAAAGAACGACTGATAACCTACAAAGACAGTAAGTTTTCTTTTACACAAGCCATTTAGAAGAGGCAGCAATTTGTTTGAAGTGAAACAACCGCTGCTTATCTCCCTCAGCACACTTTCCCTGTTGTTAAACAGCATCATGGTCAGGGCTGACAGGAAGACGGATGGAGTTAAATACAGAGCGGAAACCTGTCAGAGACTGCAAAACATATGAGACCAGAGTGGAGGTTCATCTTCAACAGTACAACATGCAGGTTTAAATAATTTATGTGGCCCAGTTGAAGGCCTTAAATTCAACTGCAAAATGTCTAAATACTGTCCACCTGCTGTGACTCAGTCTGAAATATTTTGTGAAGACTGTGCAGAAACTTCAGTCTTCAAATGTGCAAAGCAGGTAGACAAATATTGTACCTGAAAAGACTTGGAACTGTAATTAAAGTGAAAAGTAATTTCTACAAAATATTGACTCAGTGAGGCTGAATACAAATGGCTTATATGTGTTGTATATTTGAAAACCATGTGTCATTTTTAAAACTATGCACTACTTTGTGCCAATCTGTCACATAAGATTCTAAAATACATTTAAGTGTATTTGTCTAAAGGTCAAAGGACTAACAATACTTTTTACAAGGAGTTTTAAATCCTCCATTTTCTCATGAAGATTCTAATCATCCTAATGTATCCAACTTTACGTCTTACTAGCACATGAGGTTTTAGTGAAAAATCCTACTAAAATGTCATAGTTGCTCTACCAAAGCTTGCATGTTGATGGAACAGGTGCTGCTCTGCTTCTTGTTGTGCAGGTCCTCCTCTGAGACCCTGCAGAAAAACAATAGCAGCAACTCCGGTGTTATTCTGGATATCTCGTCTCTTAAGATGGCAGATGTGGATACAGAGGTGCCTCCTCTTCCACCTCGCTACCGCTTCAGGGACCTGCTGCTGGGGGACCAGACGTTTCAGAATGATGACAGGTAGCAGGAAAAGCTTGTATTTACTGTGCTATAACATCTGATTGCTTGTCAGGGGATATTTCCGGACTGGCCTCTGTGCATGCATGTATTCTACTCTCCTAGGACGAATATATTAAGTGAGGTCTACAACACTAAGCTGTTCTTTCTTTTTTATTTATGTCTTTGCTACACTTTCCATGATTAGTTTTTCTTATGAGCCCTTAGAGACAGCAGCAGGACCTTATCTTTTGGTTTTATGTGTAGTTAAAGTAAAACATAGAAAGTAAACAGAGCTGTAAGAGGTTTCTTTGGGGGAAAGGGTCTTACTATTCTTCAAAACCTGACTGCTTTTCACTTAATATTTGTAAAATGGCAGCAGAGAAATTAACTTTTTGGATGATTTAATAAACCTTCTCTAATGACTTTTCACATTTTGAAACCTTTTTTGTGCTTGAAAGGCAGAGAATTAACCACATTGAATTCTGTATTAAAGTAATCTGTCCCTGAAACAACAAAGCAAAAAACCGAACAGACTTAGCTAAAAAAAGCTAGAAAAACCAGACTAGTTTTGTTTTTTCCTTTTTAATATGAATTCTTTTAGAACAGAAAAACATTTTGCTTGTAAGCTATTATGTGCCACAGCTACTAGTGCTGGGGGACTCTGGGAGTCTTTTAACACTGGGAGGATTTTTTGTCAGTGCTGCGGTTGGGGAGGCAGACCAACAGATGCTGTTTATGACCCATGAGAGGAAGAATTAGCCTGAACCGCCACTGAGTACCGTAGGACCTCTCCATGGTGCTGAAATGAAGTCATTTCACTGAAGGATCAGCAGTCGCTGTTTCTCTGGCCGTGGTGCTAGAAAACAGACGACTGCTGCGTCGCTGTGTTATTGTTTTGGTACGTCCAATAAACTTGCTGTGCTGCATGTTTTATACATATTAACTTGTACTTTAATCTACTAGCTGGATATGATGTAATCATAAAAAGAATGTTGCCTCATGGACCAGTGTGAGCAGGTCTGCATACACCAGAGGAACCATTAAAGAGAACATATCTCACCTGAGTACCTCATTTATAGTTGTTTTTTTTTTCAGGTACAGATTTGGTACTTTTAGTTACAGTTTGTTTGAGATTTCTTTCTTTTGCATTTCCTTGTGATCTTGAATCATCTATTATTTGTTTATAATACAAAGCTGGTTGGTGATATAACAATAATAATTATTAAATTAAAACAAACACAAAAATAATTTGGCATAATAAGCATCACCAACTGTAAAGACGTAGTTTTGTGTGTATAATATAAACTGACACCAGTTTTTGTGACGAACAGCATTGCCCTTTTCAAAGCGATAAAACAGAGGACTTTACTGTGAAAGCTGGACATCAGGTTTGTTTATTCTCAACAGAAGTCATGTTGCAGCAAAGACACCGTGATTTATTTTACGCTTCCTGAGTTGAATGAAAAATAAATATCATCATATTTCAGTTTGAGTCAGAATATTTATAAGTAAATATACGATTCTGTTTACCAGCACTGCCGCTCTCAGGCCTATGTGTGTTCAGTCTCTCTGTGTCTCTGGGGCTTCCTGCTGTAAATTGTTGCCAGTAGATTTTCTATCAGTGCGAGGCCTTTGTCTGCACATAGCATCGAGAACGTCAGGGCTTCTGACCACCCCTCCCCCACAAATGATCTTTTTGCTTTCCCAATAGGTCCAGTGATTTCTCTGTTGGCAGGTATATTCTCTCCAGTGGTGCTTGTCAGTTTATTCTTTAATGTTGAAAAATGTATCAATGGCGTGAATGTAGGGCAGATAATTCAACAGTTTATACATATAAATGTGTAGAAAAAAATCAGGTTTATTTGAACTGACTGTTTTATTTATGCTTTGTTCCATGTTGTATATATAATTATTAGAATATTGTGATTATTTTTTCTCATTTGAACGCTTCCTCCTGTTGGTTCCTGTTTTTGCTGATCACTTTTTAGCTCCAAAGCGTAATTAAAGCTTGTTGCTTGGCTACCAACAAACGACTGGTTGAGAAAATGCTGGCATCCACATATAACTGTATGTGTGAGTGTATGTATGCTGGATGCAACCACAGACCTATACCATTCTCGGACACGGCCAAAAATTGCATTACAGAGGAGAGTTTGCTTCCTCAAATCAAATAAGCTGTTTCACATGCGTATGTGCAGGAGTGGGCAGTTTCCTAATTCCTGAAGTGGAATTTCAAACCATGACTCCGAGCTTGGCGGACAACATTTTTTAGTCGATTGTATGCACATTAATTATGATGCTAATTATGTCGGATTGCAGTGCATGCAAAGAAGGAGAATCGGCAGGCCAGCGCTCTAATGGCGTAAGTCTTTTTTTCTTGTATTTATTACACTGGGTGCTGAGTAGAAGGCATAATGGCTTCCAGGTTATTATCAGGGGCAAGTGCTAGCTCACTAAACACATTGTTATCTCTAATGGTGTTGGCAAAACATTCAGGTTACTAATGCCAACAAAAAATTAAAATAAAGCACATACTTTCTTTATATTCCTGTTTTACATCCACTTGTTTTCATCAGTTGTGACTATAGTGTTCATTACAAAGCTAACAGATCAAAGCAACAATCTGTGGAAAAACATTAATGGTCACTGCTTATTGCATAATTTCCAAGCTTTCACTATGCATTGCTCAAATCCTGGCACTTTATATCTTACAACACACACCAGTTAAAAATGAACAAATTTGTTTTGTGATTTTAAAAAAATGGATCTCAGGAAAAAATTTTGAGGTGCAACAGGGTGTCTTATATGTGAAAGTGTCGTCAGTAACAAAATCCATGCTGCCTCCATTAACCATTACTCTGCGTCAGTCTCTAAACTTGTTAGGAAAGGGGTGTGGACTGCAGCACCAATGTTGTGTTTAGAGACAAGTCTATTGGGACTAGAGGTAAAACCATGGCTTCTTTTTTAGTGGAAATAAAGCCACACATCTTATTACTGGAAAGACTGAAGAGCTGCCGGTCAATAAATGTGTTCTCCACATTTTTCCCATTTCAAGTTAGTCTTTTCCGCTTTGCCACCAACACTTATACAGTAATAAAAAAAAATGGATCTGCTTGGTAGTTTGCTGGTTTCATCCGTGTTTTGTATCATTGAGATTTCCATTTACGCAAGCAACACAGAAGCTGCCTTCTCAAAACACCAGTTTCATTTTACGTGACAAACACCAGTAGGATGCATTACCCATTTGTGTTGGGATTGCCCCCACTAGAGCCCTGATTTACAATCCATTGCAAATTAGCATCTGGTCGCAATTAGAAAACAGCACCATTAAACTGTTTAGGCTTGTGTGAAAAATCCCAACATTTTGCTAATCATTTCCACTGAAGCTGGAATGAATTTTCTCATTTCAAAGATAACTAATTTAGTTTGCAAAGGGTAGCAGAAATTAGTGTAGATTGCAAAATGAGTTGATTCTTCAGCCACATTTATCTTCAATCCACATCTGCTGGTTCTTGATGGAAAATAACCAGTTCCTTTTGAGTTCATGCTTGGTCTAGTTAATAAAGGTGTTGTCAAAAACAATGCAACCAATAGTCCTGTCACCACAGGTTTGTGTCTCTATGTGTGTAATTGACAGCAAAACAAGAAACTTAGCTAACTTACACCACACTACATACCAAAACAAACCTGCAGCTGCTGCAGTCTTAGTGGAAATATCTAACATAATTGATCCGACAACAGAACTGCTAGGAATAAAATGAAAATGTTCACATTCATCAGGACCAGACCCAAACCACTCAATGACAATCTTTAATGGTAAACCGCAAAACAAAGTGTAAGGTATACAAAATTAAAATCTAATTATGATGATGAAGCCACCGTTTCTTTGTGTAGGATAATAAATCCATTGAATATTGAATCCTCAAACTAACTTTGCAGTGGAATACAAAATGATGTGAAGTTCAACCTTATGAAAATACAATGATCTATCTATGAAATTCCTCTCTGTTTTATTCCCCTTTGCTTTAGTCACTAATGTCCAACATGACCCTGTATGTATTACCTCTGATACAGCCAGTGGCAAAGAGGGTACAGCAGCAGTGGATGTCGCTGACTGCCAGTGGCCAGGTGAGAGATAATTAGTGGCAGCAGTCGGGCTATGCGAGCTACCTGTCCTCCGGGATCACCTCTAAGCAGAGGCGGGGGTGATTTATATCTGCCCAGAACTATTGTAGTTGCAAGCTGGCCTGTAAAGAGGTCCGGTGTAATTGCATGGGGCCTGTTGGGGCAGTGATCCAGACTGTGAGGGCATCATTCACTGGAGGACTGGACCTGTAAATCGTAGGTGTTACTGTATGTGATTATAGTTTATCTTTACCATCGGTTTAAAACCTTTATCTGGTTCTTTTATTGGTTTTGAGAAGGAGATGCTCATCCAGTTGGTTATTACTGCTTGATAGTTGAAGGTCTCCTTCTAAAACCTCTTTTTATTTTTTATTTATTTGTTTATTTTTTTTAACCCCAGCATTGTCCATGGGATTTGATTGTGTTGCTTTACGGTCAGCCGTTTCAATCATGTCAGCTCCTGTCCACATGGGGGCCATTTTGGGTATATCTGGAAAGGTCTTTAGTCGGCTGTGAATCCATACAGATTCTTTGTCTTGGCAAACCAGAAACGATCATTTTTGAAACCGGGTTCCAGAGTGGATGCATTTCAGAATGCTGGTTTGGCCATACCAGCCCTGTCTTATTTAAAAACAGTGACATCATAACTCCATCTCAGCCTCCTCACTCACAAATAACAAAAATGGCAGCATTCAATATTTTCTCTATCATTCTGTGTCAGTGTTACAGCGCCACCAATTGGCCCGGCATATTAACTACATAATTTTCTGTGCTGCTGCATCCTGTCGTAACAAATGTATGAATCGTTCGTCTCAGTTTGTTGAAGGCCTTAGAGTGAACAATTTGTAACACATTTGTCTAAGATGAGCGGCTTCTGGATTTGACTGTATGTCAAA